CTGAAATGCGCTGGTGCACCATCATGCATGTAACACATATTGTTTCTTATTACTAACAGAACATCATCAAGCAGCAAAGGCAACTGTTGTTGAAGAAAATTGAGGTAAGTCTGTCCGTCAAGTCGTCCCGGCAAGAAGGATGGGCCAATAAAATGGTTGTCAATAATTCATGCACCTACGTTAACCGAAAATTGGTGTTGGAAATGGGTTTCGGTTACGGCATAGGGATTTTCTTCTGCCCAGAAATAATTATTGTGGAAATTCTGAATGGCATTTTGAGAAAAATTATTGCAGATTTTGTGTAATTTTTTGAAGATACCACTGACAAAAGGTCACACGCCTGGGAAAATCAATGAGAAATAATGCCTGTAGTCTTAATATATGGCAAGGACATAACAAAAAATCCACTAAAATTCTCCAAACAACTTGATGGCAAATATATAAGTGTCTAGCGATCTTCTTCAAACTCGTTTCAGGATGTTCTTCGACAGCACTGCTCAATTTCAGGTGTTCTCACACTTAGAGATGATCTACCTTCAGATGTTCTTTTTAGGACAGAACCAGTTACAACAAGATGACGATGAATATTAGAAAAGGTTCAATACTAAAAGATATTAGATGCTCAAATAGGTTCAGGAAAGAGCTGAGGAATCTGTTAATAGAAAGATGCTACTACTCAGTAGCCGAGTTTCTTTCAGGGTAAGAGTGATGCACCAAAAAATTAAATAGGAAACTATGGCGGTATATACAGGGTGTTTCAGTTTATTGTTGCATAACATTAAGATTCAATAGAACTTATAAAATTAATGCATAAAGTCTATATAAACATGGGTCAAAAAATGCGTAGCTTCCGAAATACAGGGTGTTCAAATTTACTTTCTAAAATAGTTTTTTTTAAATATTTCGAACAATATTTGATGTATAACAGTGAAAATTGGTATGCAAGGGTTTTTTGGTACGACAAAACGAACCGCGGGCATATTTTTACTGTAGCCGCTAGAGGGCGCTCTCTACTGTACCTGTAGTGTATTAAAATGACTGAAAATTTTTTCTTAGTGCAAGTTTTTGCTTTTTGAATAAAAAACTGATTCTCTCCACTTTTCAACATAAAAATTGTGGATTTTCGTTATAGTTAGCCGTTTTTGAGATATTTCGATTTTAAGGTTCGATACATTTTTAATTATTTATGATAAAATAACGTTAAAAAGTCAGCATCTCGATAATTTTTAGAAGTAGGCTGTGCCCGCAAATATTTTTGAAATTGAAAGCAGAATAAGGTTAAACGTCAATTAACATGAAACCTGAAACGTTTTTTGGCAATTGTGAATGCACGAAATTTAGTTTCTTTTACCTGTTTTTTTTGTGAGTTTAATAAAAATGCCATTTTTATTCTCCAATCAAGAGTTAGCGGATATTCATTTTGTGTATGACTTTGTAAATGGAAACGCAACAGAAGCAGCCAGAGAATACGCACGAAGATTGCCAAACAGACGATATCCAACTCGCTAGAGTATTTGAAAGAGTGCATCGCCAAATAATTGAAAATGGTTTTGGAAATCTCCAAAGGGATCAAAACATAAATGTTCGTCAGCGCAGATTTACCCGTATGATTCTGCGTGAGTTTGATAGAGATCCGACCACAAGTGTTAGGAGAGTTTCTGGTGCCTTGGGAATTTCAGCAAGCCATGTTCACCGTGGTCTTAGAAATGACCATAGACGTCCTTACCATTTGCAACCTGTGCAAGGACTACAGCCAGGGGACGGAGAACGACGAATCACATTTTGTCAGTGGATTCTTGATAGAACTGATAATAATAGGGAGTTTTTAAGTAACGTTTGATGGACCGATGAGTCATGCTTCACTAGACGTGGAGTGGTAAATTTTCATAATCAACATATTTGGTCGCATGATAATCCGCATGATGTTCGGGAAAGAAATTTTCAGCATGGATTTGGTGTGAACGTGTGTATCGGTATCTACTGTAATCGACTATTTGGGCCCTACCTTTTGCCTGCAAGGTTAAATGCTGCGACCTTTTTGGAATTTTTAAAGGCTGAACATGCAAATATGTGGGATGATGTTATGTTAGATTTAAGAAGATTGGCCTGGTTCCAGCTTGATGGTTGTCCAGCTCATTATTCGAGACTAGTTAGAAACTGGCTGGACGAAAATTATCCAGAAAGATAGATCGGCCGTGGAGAACCAGTCGCCTGGCCTCCACGATCCCCTGACCTAAATCCATTAGATTTCTTTGTGTGGGGATTTCTAAAAGAAAAAGTGTACCAGACTCCCGTAACCACAATAGATATGCTAATAGACAGAATCAGGAATGCATGTGATGAAATAAGGCCTTATTTGAATAATGCTATACCACGTTCGATCATTCGTAGATGTGAATTGTGTATTGAACAATTGGGTTTACATTTCGAGCAACTACTTTAGATTTTGTATGTTTGTCCTAACTATCCAATAGCATTTCAGTTGTAAATAATTAATTTAATTTGTTAAAAATAATATTGGAAAATTAAACAAGTTAGTATTCTGTTTTTTGTGTTTATTTGGAGTTAGGAATTATTGCTGTGTTTAAAAACACAATCTAAACGATCATCTTAATTACTTGTAATGCCCAAATCGAAAATGTAAAAAAAAATATTATTTTCCCATAAATAATTAAAAATGCAATCGAACCCTAAAAATCGAAATATCTCAAAAACGGCTGACTATAACGAAAACTCACAGGAGAGCTTCTTTATGCAGAAAAGTGCGAAGAATCAGTTTTTTTATTCAAAAAGCAAAAAATTGCACTAAGAAAAAATTTTCGGTCATTTTAATACACTACAGGTACAGTAGAGAGCGCCCTCTAGCGGCTACAGTAAAACTATGCCCATGGTTCGTTTTGTCGTACCAGATAACCCTTGTATACCAATTTTCACTGTTATACATCAAATATTGTTCAAAATATTTTAAAAAAAACTATTTTAAAAAATAAACTTAAACGCGCTGTAATTCGAAAGCCACGCATTTTTCGACCAATGTCTATATAAACTTTATGCATTAATTTTAAAGTTCTATCGAATCTTAAAGTTATGCAACAATAAACTGAAACACCCTGTATATATGTGTATATATGTACATATATACAGGTATATATATATGTATGTGTATATATGTGTGTATATATTTACTCGTATATGCGTACTTTTATTTTTTTTTCTATTTTTATTGTACTTACTTCTTTTACACCTTGTTCCGTTTATTATTGTATCTGCTTGTTTGGTGTATGACAAATTTATGTTTTTATACTTAACTATATTTTTAATTTTTGTAGATAATAATGTACCCATAGAGATATGCCTGACGAGTCTTATATCATTTCTATGATCCGAAGACAATAAAGCATCTATCTATCTCTATCTATCTATCTATCTATCTATCTTCCTCGTATACTCGTTTCAGGATGTTCTCCGACTTCGTGCAGCACCGCTTCCTCAATTTCAGGTGTTCTCACACCTAGAGGTCTACCTTCAGACAGAACCAGTTTCGACAAGACGGCGATGAATATTAGAAAAAGTTCGACTATCTGGCAAAGCACGATCGGGATATCTCTGGTGATAAATCCGTCTGGCTTGCTCACCATTATCGTCGGCAAGGCCATATACGTAAAGCATTTCCGCCATTTCTGCATTTGAACAATTCACCATTATTAACAAGATTGTAAAAACAACATAATGAAAAATAAGTCACAGCGAACAGATTTGAATAGCAGAGACTTGTCAGTTGTCAAAAGCCAGTGACCTATTCCAGAGCAGCTAGACATATATTGCTAAATTGCATTCTTCAATTATGACAATTTTCTCGGACAATAGAACGGTTTTTATTTTTTTACTCAAAAATGGCGCATCAACAGGAAACAATTCCGGAAGGATCATTTGTCTTGAATTGAACGGGGAATTCAAAAATAATTTTTATTTTGCAAAAAACTATTGAAATCAATACCCGTACGCACGTTACTGTTAAAGCCAAAAATTATTTTTGTATTGAAAAATATGCATCTTTATTAACTTTCACTACGTACTAAATATCAGTAAAATATCTGAAACGGTTCTAAAAATATTAATTAATTTCCATTTTATCTTAAAACTTCAACACCCCGAGTTTTTGTAAGGAAACTTTTTTGGACCATAGTTTATAAAGCAAATTAACACTAATTGTTCTGTAGATTCACACCCTTAAATATTCGCATATCACTAAGGAACACCATGTATGATTATATATAAATTAAGCATCTATTAAAAATTCGACGACTTTGGAGGTGAGTTTCCAGAGTCAAACAAAAACATAAGAAATTACAGCACAAAGCACCTTAAGAAAGAAAGAAGATTAAAAGAATGTAAAATTGATATACAGAAAATACACGTACTACTTATTAGTTGGTAGAAATAAATACATTTCCGTTGGTAGTTTGAGTATAGGTTTGCGATCATCCCCAGACAGAAGCGGGATTCGTCACTGAAGAGCCCCTGATCCCATTGTGGGCGATAAGCAAAAAGGCGATATACCGTATGCATACCAACCATCCTTCCATGCTCTTCAAACCACTGATTAGCAATGGCTTGAGGACTACTGAATCTGTCTCTCAGAGCCAGAAGTCTTAACCGACGGTCTTGTCGCTCTGTGGTCCCGAACTCGTCGCTCGCTGTCCTCGGCATTCCTGAGTCGACGCTCGTTCACACTGTAGTATACTGTGTAAGGATCAGCCACCGCAAAAACTTAACAGACAAACCTGACCTGTTTATCACTTGCTGTTCATGGCAAGATCCCCAATTTCACTAAGCAGTTCAGAAAGCGGATTAAAAAGCCGTATCTAAGCTCGTCATAGCAGTCGGGGTTCCCAGGTTTCTAAGGTTCTGCATAAAAAATCTCGCTTTACTGAAAACCGGCTCTAATCACAGATATTGATATGGTGAAAGTGGAATTTATAATCTTAGATGTTACTTACAGCACTCGAATTTGCTGGTCTCTTCTGAGACGTTCGTCTTTTGCCAGCACCCCAAGAATGATCTCCCGCTCCTTGTCAGACAATCGCGTGGCTTCCATAGCTGCAGCAGCGACGACGGAGTGCGTGCACGCCTCTTCTTGGCAGCAAGACATCACCGGAAGTTCAGACCTGCAAAATAAAACATCATGTACGTTTAGTAGTAGTAGTAGTAGCAGACTACTCCAAACACGCAGGGAGATATCAAGAAGGAGATTATGAGGCTGAACCAGATAATGGAGTCACTAAATCTAAAGATTGACCAAGAAAGTACCGAGAGAGACCGGAAGGCACCGAGAAAGGAAGAGAGCCCAAAAAGCACAACAAGCGTTGGGGTGCAAGTAAATTTCGCGGATGTAAAGGCAGAAATGGAAGAAAGAGAGTCTAAAGAGAGCAAAGAAATAATAGACATCTTAGATAAGAGCCAAAACTTTGAACAATTTGCGAAATTGCTAGACAGGAAATGGCCAGAACGAGCTTACAGGGCCGTCAAACATATTCATGGAGCTCCACCAGACATACCCGTAGAAGATGTCACAGCAATAATCGCGGACGCCAAACCGGCGAATATGAAAGGACTACTAAAGGAAATAAGCGGAAGGCACCCGGAAATAAGCGAGATCATGAAAGGCGGTGTAACAGAAGGCCAGTTAGAGTACTTCGAGAAGACCACAAAGATAAACTTCAGGAACAAAGACGAAGAGAAAAGCCAACTTGTTTACATCCTACCTATCGATATAGACAAAAATGGAGTAAACAACATGAAGGAGGTACATAAACTCGTAGAAGATAGCAAGAGAACGGTGCAGACTCATGGTCGGAAAAAGATCACCTTTATACCGGATGATGGGATAAACAAATCATACGTGAGGAAGATCCTAGAGTACGTGTTTAACAAAGCGGACATCGAGGTAAAGCTGATGACAGCCAGAGGAAAAGACCGAGAGCACAGCAGACCCTGGCCAAGTAAAACACAAGCCCAATCTCAAGCGGTGATCGTTAAGAAAGGGGGCCGGCAGTACGCCGATCTCCTAAAGACAGTGAAGCAGAATATCGATTTAGGGAAAATCGGTGTCAAAGTCAGGAACATAAGAGAGACCGCAAGAGGAGACCTACTGCTGAACGTGGAAGGGGGTGGTGAGAAGGCAGACTCCCTTAAAAAAGAAATTGCCGCCCAGCTCAAGGATGTAGGTGTATCGCTAGCCAATAACGATGCCACTGTACACATCAGCGATATAGACCCTACAGTCACCGAGGAGGAGATCGAGGAAGCAATTTACGAGGCAACCCAAGTAGACAGAGCAACACCAGTGAAGGTGTTGAATATGAGGCCCACCAGAGATGGAAATAGAATTGCAACTGTCAGGTTATCAAAGCATCTGGCGAAAGTCCTAAGCAACAGAGGCAAGCTGATGATAGGCTGGGTGGCATGCAGAGTCCGTGAGAGAATAGCTGTAACCAGATGTTACAGATGCTTGGAATTCGGACACACACAAAATGGATGCACAGGCAGGGATAGATCGGGAGAATGTCTGAGCTGCGGAAAAATGGGCCATAAAGCGAAAGACTGCCAAACGGACCCTTTTTGTTCTTCCTGTCAAGAAGCCGGTCACCGCTCCGACTCAACCAGATGTCCTAAGTATAGGAGGATGGTGGAGGATAAAGCAAAGAGGAGAGGCAGCTTCCGCAAGTAAAGTAAAGTAAAGAAAAAAAAAAAATGCCACGGACTGTCGAAGGTAATGCTACAAACAGGTTTAAACGAAATCCACGGAAAAGCCTGAGAATACTGCAAACGAACTTAGGCAGAGAAACAGCAGCCCACGATATAGCCTTTGCCACGGTAGCCGAGTATAACATAGACCTACTGATAGTGGGGGAACCCAATAAGACCATCATAAAAACTCAAAAATGGATCAGCGACAAAAGAGGGGACGTAGCAGTGTACTTTAGAAATAGGGAAGTGACGGTTAAAGATATAAAGTACTACGACGGTTTTTTGGGCCTACACCTCGAGTTTTGCACCTTATACTGTTGCTACATATCTCCAAACATTCCGATAAATGAGTTTCAGGATCTGGTTGACAAGATAATATCTGAAATTGTCACATCAAGAAGGGAATGCGTGCTCTTGGGAGACATAAACGCAAAGAGCGTCGAGTGGGGGTCCCCATTCACAGATAGTAGAGGAACGTACTTTTCTGAATGCCTTGCTGCTGCAAACATGGTTGTGCATAACACCGGAGATAACCCCACTTTTGTTAGAGGTAGCACAGAATCATATATAACGTAGATGTCACATGTTCGACACAGAAGATCGCAGCAAACATGAAGAAATGGAGCGTCCTCGATGAGGATAGCATGACGGACCACAAGTATATATACTTTGAGGTAGATAAGCAGCTAAGCAGTAAAAGAGCTCAATCCTGGGGCTCGACCAAGACTTGTAACTGGGAAGTCTTTAGACAGGTACTCTCGTCCAAGCTAGTAGAATACCCAGAAAAGCCGCATACAGAGGAAAACTTTACTGCCACCATTAAAGAAGCTTACCATGCTAGCCTCACAACTAATAACAATCATAGCGGAATGCCCTACTGGTGGAGCAACGATATCTCTCAACAGAGACAGAAGTGTCACAAGGCACGTAGAACCATCATGAGGCTCGTCAAACACAGGCACAGACATCCGGAAGCGATCATCGAAGAAGCTAGCTCCTTGTATAAAAGCCACAAAAAAATGCTTCAGCAAATGATCAAAGAGTCCAAGAAAAAACACTGGAACGAACTTTGTGACAGCATTAACGAGGACGTATGGGGAGACGGATATCGGATTGTCATGAAAAAATTCCGATGTTTCGCGCCCTATAGCATGACAAAAGAACGAAAGAAGGAGATAGCAGAAGAACTGTTCCCACCACACGCAGTTAGGAGCTACAGCACAGAAACGGTCAACAACGTAGACATGTTCACGGAAGAGGAATTCGAACAAGCCATAGAAAAACTCAAAATGGGTAGAGCCCCTGGTCTTGATGGTATACCCCCAGAAGCAATTAAAGAGGCTTCGAAACTGTCACCAACCTGGGTATTGGGCTTTTTAAACAACCTTCTCACCACACAGAGCTTTCCGGAATCTTGGAAACGGGCCAAACTCTTACTGATACCGAAAGGAAAAGACAAATACAGACCCATTTGCTTGCTCTTGACAATTAGCAAGCTATATGAGTTATTGATACTTGCTAGGCTACAGAAGGAAATCGATTACAAGGGTGGCCTATCAGAGTTCCAGTATGGTTTCAGGAAAGGTAGAAATACGTTGATGGCAGTGGACGCAGTCCTTAAAACCATTAAGGGCAGCAGGGAAACATGGGGCGTTCTCATCACAGTCGACGTCAAAAACGCTTTCAACTCGCTACCGTGGCAAAACATAATGGAGGAGCTGAGAACAAGGAAAATACCACCATACCTCCGAAATCTCGTAGGTGCCTACCTCAGTGGAAGGTCACTCCAGATAGCCAAAGAAGAGACCTTAGACATAACAACCGGGGTACCGCAGGGCTCAGTCTTGGGCCCTACTCTATGGAATTTGGTTTACGATGGGGTACTGAGGAGTAAATGGCCACATGGTGTAAAAGCCGCTGCGTTCGCGGACGACTTGGCAGTGATAGTGCTAGCGCAGGATGAGGAGGCCCTTATGCATGCGGCAAATCTAGCCCTGAGGATAGTGGACAACTGGATGACGGCCCATCACCTCGAACTCGCACCGGAGAAGACAGAAGCTGTCATCATAAAGGGGAAGCGGAGAAAAGCAGGTATTACTTTTAACTGCAGAGGAACTTCCGTAACACCAAAGAAGTCAGTTAAGTACCTAGGAATTCACTTAGAAGAAGGAGGCCACTTTCGGGAGCATATTCGGGCAACGGCAGCAAAAGCAGACAAAAAAGCAGCATCGTTAGCAAGAATTATGCCAAACATCGGCGGACCTACCAGCAACAAGAGGGAGGTTATAAATAGCGTGGTGCTTTCAACATTACTTTACGGCGCCCCAATCTGGCACGACATTATGAGCACTACTAGATACAGGCAAATGTTCAACGGAGTGCAAAGGAAGATGCTGCTGAGGGTGGCGAGTGCTTACAAGACGGTCTCCACGAAGGCCTTACAGATTATTACAGGGATAGCACCGATCCACTTGCTTGTGGAAGAAAGAGTGAGACTGCACCGCCGGGAAGATGGGAGAACCGCGAGGGCCAGAAAGGAGGAGCGCGAGGTCACCATCAGTAAATGGCAGGACGAGTGGCACTTAACGGAGGACGTGGCTCAGTGGACAAATAAAATAATACCTGACATCGGGAAGTGGATTGCTTGCAAGCACAGGCGACTGGACTACCACCTAACGCAGGCACTAACGCAGCATGGTACTTTTCGAGTATTCACGAAGAGAGTACAGAAATCAGACAGCGATGAATGCATGTACTGTCAAGAAAAAGACACAGTTGCACACACTCTCTTCGAGTGCAACAGATGGGAGCGACAAAGGGCACAAGTCGTTGTTAGTCTAGGACACGCTCTGACGGAGAGTAATCTGACCAGCACCATGATGGTGAACAAACAATCGTGGATACAAATACAAAGATTCGTCAGGGAAATACTATCAATTAAAGACAAGGATGAAAGAAGAACGGACAGCCCAAACTCCTAGGACATATACATGGAAATTTTACTGCAGATACCGCTGAGGAAACGAAGACATGTGTGAGACACAGTCATGCTGGTAGTAAGCGCAGGCGAATCCCAGCATGAGGGTGGGGGAGGGGGTTTTAGCCCAGGTGGCATAACCTGAATGCGGATACTAGATATCCGGTCTCAGGTATCTCTTGGTGATTTCCCCCCAAGAAAAAAAAAAAAAAAAAAAAAAAAAAAAAAAGTAGTAGTAGCAGTAGCAGTAGTAGTGATGGGGAGGCGACGCCTGACAACTAGGCAACATTTGGCCCATTTTGCCAACCACGTAGCACCAACACTGTACTATCCACAAGCCATCATACTAGGAGGAACTTCGGCAATGCCATGTTGGGGGATTTTCTCCCAAATTTGGGTAACCTTTATTTGGGGAATTTTTTGAGGATATAATGTTAGGGG